TTATGGCAGAAGCACAAAACCCAGAGGGAGAAGAGAACTGTGTTTAATCAGCTGCATACATCCTCCAGACATTGATGCATTTAGTCCATAACAGAGTGCAGGTGGAGGCTGGCATAGGGAGCAAGCAGAAAGCTCATCTTTGTTGCAGTAAACAGTTATTAATTATTTTCTAGGTATATTCACACCTTTCTTGTGGTACCAGCAGAGATTTATTGGCAAGGCTCATAGCAGGGTCTTGTGTCACGGTTTTTCATCTGCTTTTCTCTCCTTACTGAAAATCTAAACTCTCATCCCCTTAAATGTCCTTACTGTGACACAGCCCTTGTGCACCTTTGATCAGCAGTGGAAGAGTTGGTGTTGGCAAGAAGCTGCCCCCTCTGAGCACCCACTGCAAGGCAGGGTGAGATTAGTAAAACCTCAGCGAGACATTGTTTCGGACCAGTTCCAGGCTCTGCCACATGTGATACTATGATGTTTAGAGGGTATTATGTGTAATACAGGGATGTTTCCAGGGTATTATTTGCTATAATAAGGTTCAGAAAACAATTAAAAAGGAAAAAAGTGATTAAGACTTTTGCAAAATCTGGGCTATTCGGGGTCACAGATGTTGCCTGTTGATTCTTTATTGTAGGTTACATGGGAGTGCCCATTTACAAATGGTTGCCGCTTTTTAACACCAGCCTGGTGTTAAACCCTGAGACTACCTCACTTTTGCCAAATGTTTCTTTGAATACACCTACTCTTTTTATATAATGCAAAAAGAGTTTTTCTAATTTTCTCATGATTGTCTCCTGTATGTTTCCAATGATCCCCCTTTGTGTGAGTTTATGCGTTGGAAATACCAGTGGATTCCAAAAAGTGCACAGAGAAGACATTGCCAGTTTTGAAGCTGTTAAGAAAGCCCATGCAGTCTGATGAAATCCAGCATTGTGAGGCTACTTGCTTTTCCTGCTCCACTCACATTCTTTGCATAGCCAAACATTAACTAGAAGTGCAGTTCAGAACTGCTGGTGCTCTTGCAGAGCTCATGTATCCGTTTCCTGTTGAGCTCTTGCCTTGTCAGTAAGAACGAAGAATAGGATTGATTCTCATTATCATTTACCTCCCATTCTCGTTGTATACTTATTCTCAGTGACATTTTAAATTCTCTTAATAGAAGCAATGGAAGCTGTTAACTGCAGCAGGAGACATTTTAGTTGTTACAGAATCACAGAATCAACTGGATTAGAAAAGACCTTTAAGATCATCAAGTCCAAGCATTACTCCAGGACTGCCAAGGCCACCATTGAGCCATGTCACAAAGAGGCTCATCTACATGGTTTTTGAACACTTCCAGGGACAGTGATGCATATCTTGTTTCTCTCCACAGCTTGAGGAAACGTGTAGCTTGATGGCTTTGTCATACAACTGTGCTTAGTGCTTCTGCAAGCCCGTAAGCACCCTTAACTCTAATTGCCTTCATTGGAAACAGAGGGCTCTTGGAGCCTCTTGGAAGACAGACTTGATATGCTCAAGTGTGCCTTCAGCAGGCATGCACACTGTGTGCAAGCATCACTGCCCACTGCAGAACACAGCTACTGCCCAGAGAGGAAAACACAGGCAGCCAGGGGAGGGAAAAAGCAGTTGTTCCAGTGACTTTGATGCTAGTTTGGATTTTGACAGAGAACTCAAAACTCCTGCTACTTAAGGCATTTAGTAACTTAATTTAGTTCAGAGACATCAGAAATGGAAAACCCTGAACTCTAACCCTTCCAGTTTGAGAGAGCACAGCCTCCAGCACAACTGTGAATTTGTGCTCCAGACAGCAGACTTCCTGCAGATCCAATACTGCCTTTTTTTGCAGACTCTTAAGCCTGATTCTGATCTCTTTTGTTCCATTAGGAATCAAGATTACATCCACTGAAATCAATGATGTTACTGTGCAAAGACAATCAGCCCCTCATCCCTTCTTTCAGCCTCTCAATTCGCTTGCCTTTCACTCTGATCTGATCTGGCCCTGCATTACTTTTATACATCTGGGTTAAAAAAGGGCCTACTAAAAAAGCCGTATCCGTTATGGTATACAGAAAAAAACTCTTGGAGAGCAGATGTAGTGTTCATGGAGGGAGTGAAAACAGTGCAGGAGAAAGAGGATAACTCATCACAGGGAGGCTGCTGAGAGCTCTGCTGTGCAGCTGAATCACCATCACAGCAGCTATTAGCCACTCCTTCCATCCTGCCTCCAGCGTTAGGTACCAGATGTGGCCGGAGGCATTTTACTTCCTCTTTTGTTCTAGGAAAGGTAACACTGTTATTCATGAAACTGTGTTGAGCTCTAGGATACTGGAGCCGTTCTGCAGAGATTGGTTTATCCGAGAGTGCACCATGGACTTGACTGGTGGAGCTGCAGTGGGGTAAGCATGCTAGCCTGCACCTTCTAGATGCCTCCCTGCTCTCATTCCCTGTCCACTCCTTCCTTTGATTCGTGATTCTTAAAATTTCTGAGCATCTCTAGTTCTGTGACATACCTGGATTTGTGCAAACAGCCCTTAAACTGTTTCCTTCTCGGTCAGAAATCCCTGAGGAATGCAGACACAGCATCTCTTCACAACTTAATCACTCCTCATCTAATTGCTTCTTTAGTGGTGGTACACGTTACTGTGATTCATGAGCTTTTACTGTTTGTACACAGGTCACTTACAGACCCTCATGGGGTAATTATTCTTAATTAGCAGGTTGGACACATGCTGCTCTTCCCTCTTGCAATCTGCAATTAATAATATAGAGATAATACAGATATCTTCTTGCCAGTCTTTTATTTATGTTAAGAGGAGGAGGAAAAGGTTTAGGGGAAAATGATCGAAATCAACCACCTGCTGAGATCCATGCCTTTCTGCTCGGTGGCAGCTGAGACATTCCTGACTTCAGACACCTCAGTGGCAGCTTGATTCCCTCTTTGATATATTCCTCCATCTCTTCTTATCATGGCTTAATTCACTTGTGTAGATCAGTTGCACAGTATGAAGAATCTTCAGAAGTAATAACATTGGTGTTATAAGTAGATATTAATATTCTGGAGGAGGGAAAGATCTTGAGTTCTCCCTACTTTTTTTTCGTTCTCCCAGCAGCACCTATTAAACTAAACTCATGTGTGTGTGCACTAAACATCCCTGCAAACAGATCAATATGAAGTATGGTGAAATACCACAGAGCTGCTTGTAAATAGCATCACAGTTGTCATAAAGGGGTTCCAGTCTGGACACAAGGTTTATTTACAGTGGAACACACTGGGGAGAACAGCTTGGGCTTTCTTCCGTGTTTGTTTTTGTATGGAAACAGCAAGCTGCCTACTGTGAGTATTTACAAAACAGGTGACTGTTAGCAGAGGTCATTTTTATTTCAAGTCCTCATAGCGACATCAGTGTTGCTTTGATTTCAAGCCCAGGATAAACTCTTATATTGCAGTTACAAAACATGTAAGCACAACCTGGCCTCTACTAGATACGTGGAAATTCAAAGCCACTTTGCAGACCTCAAAGGAGTTGAACAGATTTTCACAGGACTGAGAGCAGAATTATCCTCTTTATTTCTTCCACGGGATGCTGAAAATTAACAACTCTTTAAAATACAGTTCACTTACATTTGGGACACAACAAAGGCGAAACCAGCCCTTTTACACGCAGTATTTTTTTGCTGCTTCCTGAACAGATGCAGCCAGGTGTGACAGCGAGGCGATGTCAGGTTTGCGTGCAGCAGGAGCGCGTCCCAAATTCCTTCTTCCAGCGCTTTAACCTCTGAGACACCTCGTGGTGGAAACATTTACTGCTCCCAGAGAGGGGCTGACATCTGGAGAGAATCCATTTTAAAGCAACGTGGGGCTCCCGTTCTGCTGCTCTTGGAGGTGGGTGAAGTCATGAGGACAGTGCTGATTTGGGGAAAAGATCGGTCTAGAGCACAGTTTTACTTGGAAAATGTAAATCCACAGGGAAGCTCGCTTTGCTGTGAAGTCAGCCCTTTGGCAGCCTGGGGCTTCACAGGTGGTTATGAGATTGAGTGGCGTTTTGCCAGGGCAATGCAGCAGTGACAGGGGTTTGTGTATATAAACGAAACCTGCAGCTTTTGCTTGGGTTTCACGTGGGGTTTGGTTCTTCAGACCCCAAACCGAATGTGAAACATCAGCAGGAGCTCGGGAGCTGGATGGAGCGAAACCCTTCTGAAGCGAAAGCATGAAAGCGTCGTGCTGTCACGTTGGTGTCTCCATTGCAGCGCGCTGAAAACTGAAAACCTTAAACAGATGGGGAACACTTTGGGCTCGTTTTCGATGTTAGAATAAGGAATACAGGGACCACAACCACCGTGAATTTGTACAACTGCTTTACTTTCCTACTGAGAGTTTTACATTTTGGGGAACTGACGCCCGCTTTGTCAGCCAAGGGGACGGCATTGAGAGCATTGACAGGGAGCTTGCTTTTCAACCACCATGGAGTGAAAACGACCTGTGCGCCACTGCCCCTCTTGGTTGAGTACGCAGCGTGCTTTACATCAAATTTGCTGTCAGCGCCGGAGCGAGGGTTGCCGACCGCGCCTAAAGCACGCGCATGGCTTTACTTCAACGTGCACTGTCCGAGCCGCAGCCCGAGCCCGTGTGGGCCCAGCCGGGGGCGCCCCGCGCCTCCGTCCGCCCTGCGGCCCAGCGGCCCCCGGGGGTACCCGGGCCTGTCCCGCCCGCGGGGCCTGCACAACGCGGAGCTGCCGGCCGCCCGCGTGCCCGCCTGACTCCCCAGCAGCCAATCGGAAGCCGGGTGTCTTTCGGGACTTCGCCTCCCGCCGATCAAACTGCCCAATCAGCAGGCAGGACGGTAACGGATAGCGCCGTCGCTGGTTAAACGAGCCAATTGACAGAGGGCAGGGTTCCCACCAATGGGATCAAGGAGTTAGCGGAATAGGGGCACACGATTGGCGGCTCCAGCAGTCGGTCCGCGCCGCCGAGGAGGGCGTGGCTTCCGGGGGCGGGGAAGCTATATGAGGGGCGGACAAAGGCGGCGGCGAGGGCCTGCCGTTCGCCGCCATTTTGCGCAGCGGGCTCTGAGGAGCGGCAGCCGCATCCGGAGCGCTTCTTCTTCTTCTCTCTCCGCCATCACCATGTCGCGGGATCGGTTCCGTAGCCGTGGCGGCGGTGGAGGCGGCTTCCACCGGCGCGGCGGAGGCGGTGGCCGCGGAGGCCCCAATCACGATTTCCGCTCTCCGCCGCCCGGCATGGGCATGGGCCAGAACCGGGGCCCTATGGGAGGCGGCCCGCAGGGCCCGGGCGGCCCGCCGGGCGGAGGCCCGAAGCCCGAGCCTCCGAAGCCGCCCGCGTCGACCTCTGCTCCGCCTTCCTCGTCTTCTTCGTCAGCCGCCACCACAGCGGGGCCCGCCGGCAGCCAGGCCGGCCCCGGAGCGCCTCCGTCGTCCGCGCTGCCCTCGGGGCAGACGCCGCAGCAGCAGCCCCCGGTGTCGACACCTTCCTCGACTCCTGGCCCGGGTGGGCAGGCGCAGCCCAAGCCGAGCCCCAGCCCTACCCCGGCCGGCGGCCCTAAGAAAGGACAAGGACAGTCGCCCGGCGGCGGGCCCAAGGGACCGGGTGGCCCCCAGCAGGGGCCCGGCGGGCCGCACAAGGGCGGGCCGGGGCACCGCGGCGGACCGGGCGGAGAGCAGCGCGGGCGCGGACAGCAGCACCAGGGACAGCAGAGCCTTTCCTCACAGCAGGGTCCGGCCGGCGGCGGCGAAAAGCTCTCGGACGAGGTGAGTCATGGCCCCTTCCCCCTCCCCGAGCACAAGATGGCGGCGGCTGCGCTCCTCAGCCGCCATCTTAAGGGGAGGAGCGCGGGGGGCCCGGTGGAGGCGGCGGAGGGGAGAGCGGGCGGCCTGAGCGCGTTCCCTCGGTGCCTGCGGACCCCGAGGGGTCTGTGGCAGCGCGGTTATGTCGGCGGCGCTCCGGTGTCCTGGCGGGGTAACGCCGCGTCTTGGCGGTGATGGCTCGAACTGGTCTGCTTCTTTATAGGGATTTAAAGCAAACCTCTCTCTGCTGAGGCGACCCGGGGAGAAGACCTATACTCAGCGTTGCCGCTTGTTTGTGGGGAATTTGCCTGCTGATATAACAGACGAAGACTTTAAAAGACTGTTTGCTAAATATGGGGAGCCAGGAGAGGTTTTTATCAACAAGGGGAAAGGCTTTGGATTCATTAAATTGGTAGGCTTTCGTTCTGTTAATTTCACCCCTTTAATTCCTCCGAAATAGTAATTTATAGCTTGGTTTTCTAAAACCAGATCTTAAAACTTCCCTTAGGAATCCAGAGCTCTTGCAGAAATTGCGAAGGCAGAACTGGATGATACCCCCATGCGGGGTCGTCAGCTTCGTGTTCGGTTTGCCACCCATGCCGCCGCTCTCTCAGTGCGTAATCTTTCACCCTATGTGTCCAACGAGTTGCTGGAGGAAGCGTTTTCCCAGTTCGGTCCAGTGGAAAGAGCGGTTGTGATTGTAGATGATCGAGGTAGATCAACAGGAAAAGGCATTGTTGAGTTTGCGTCAAAGCCAGCGGCAAGGAAAGCCTTTGAACGGTGTACCGAAGGAGTGTTTTTGTTGACAACGTAAGTATTTTGCAGTTGAGGAGTTTGAGCTGTAAGCTGACTCGAGCTGTCAGCTATCGGTTGTTCAGATTGGAGGTTCTGATGGGGAAGTAAACTGAGTATTTTGTGTTCAGCACTCCTAGGCCAGTTATTGTGGAACCGTTGGAACAGCTGGATGATGAAGATGGTCTTCCAGAAAAGCTTGCTCAGAAGAATCCAATGTATCAAAAGTAGGCACTATTTTTTGGCGTTAAGCGTATGTGTAGATGATGTCTGTAGTATTGTCTTCGTCTTTAAAGGAGATGGAGTAGTGTTTCAGAAATAGGCTTTGAATTTTGAGTAGTATTTTTAGTGCTTGTTGCGTTTTGGTGGTAGTTTGGCTTCAGAGAGCATACAGATTTCCTTAGTATATTCACTAAGCATTCCCGAAGCAATTTTCCACATTGCATCACAAAGAAACAGTGAAGACTTAAATAGCTGCTCAATAGCAGATGGTTTTGGTATCTGTAGCAAAGCAAACTTCAGCTGTTTGCTCATCCTGTTGAGAGCTGCCATCTCATGGTGTATTTCGTATTGATGGTCTCATAGAGAACTTATACACAGCTGTTTATGGTGTGAGATGCGCAATTAAGTAAAACTTTAACTCATTCCATGTTTAATAAAACCCAACTGCCTCCAGGTTGCCTCAGGAGCCTGACCACTGAGCATAAAAGAGTAGATAAGAGTCCTCCTAAATAGCAGGTTTAAGTTAGGATATGTATATTGAACCTGTTTGTTGTAAGAATACTCTATTTTCCTGGATCATAAAAAGGAGTGCAGGGGAGAGATTCAGCCTGTCTTGTCTGTATGGAAAAGTGTTCGGGATTGCTAGCTTTGATCAAAAACTAGGAACAGCTTAGAGGCAGTGTCTTTGAAAACAGTGCACATTAGTATGGTGTTCCTAAAATGCTGCACTGCCTTACATTGCTAATGTATGGAAAGCTTTTGAACTTCCCAAGTTTTGTTCCCTTACTTATTGAGTCTTTGACTCCAGCTTCTTTATATGACAAAAGGAATTGTTGGCCCTCGGGCAGTTTGAAAGCTCTTTAAATTAAAGTGAAGATTATTACTTGCCTTTGGCATGTAGTGCTTTGGGTAAGTTGACACTGAAAAACTCTGTCTCTCCATATGCTGCTGTTATGAGCAGCTCTGTGTACTTGGGCAAAAGGCTGTCTTGTTTGAGTATTTGGCCCTTGACAGTTGCTAGCAGTGGAGTATCTAAGCAAGAAGATAAGATAAACATGCAGTAGAGCTATAAGTGGGAAGATCTGCTTGGGTGTGACAGTGCAGGAGCCTCCATCATTGCTGTGGTAGTCACAGGATTTACATGAAATGCTGCTGTTTAAGTGTGTAAAATGCTGCTGCACTGTTACCAGCATTCTCTCACAAGTCTGAGGTCAGGGACCTCAGGCTCACGGCTCCTTTGCTGATTCCTGCTAATCTGGCTATTCTGCTTGTGGTTTTTTAATTGACCTTCAGATTCCAGGTTTCCCCAGTCTGAAAGAGCATCTTCCTTTTGCAGGGAAAGAGAGACTCCTCCCCGCTTTGCTCAGCCTGGCAGTTTTGAATTTGAATATTCCCAGAGGTGGAAATCTTTAGATGAAATGGAAAAACAACAGAGAGAGCAAGTAGCAAAAAACATGAAAGATGCCAAGGACAAACTTGAAAGTGAGATGGAAGATGCTTATCATGAGCATCAGGCAAACCTCTTGCGTCAAGGTAATTGGCTGTGAATTCTAGATCATCTTTTTTGCTTTTAGTGCTAGATTAAATGGCTGGCTGGCTGGTGGTTTCATGAATAAATTCATGCTTCCTCTGCTAACTTGAGAATTTTAGGCTTAAAGAGCAACTGATAGTTTCTCAATTTTAATTTAAATGAAGTGTTGTTACAACCAGTGACACTTGGGACGTGGCTGCCTGCCATCGTGCTGCTGAGGCTGATCTCTCCCAAATCTGAGGGTAAATCTGGCACGAGTTTGTGAAATAGCTGCTGACAGGGCTTCATTTCTGCAGACCTCATGAGGCGTCAGGAAGAGTTGAGACGTATGGAAGAGCTCCATAACCAAGAAATGCAGAAACGCAAGGAAATTCAGCTCAGGTTGGTTTGGCTTTCATGGGATTTTTTTTTTTTCAAAGTTACATTTATTTCATTATTTTTTTCCCAGTTACTTATATGGAGGTTTTTATTTTTCAAGAAACACCATCGCTGCTTCACTTTGTGCATGAGAAATTGAACTGCAGTGTAAGTTTCTCCTCAAGAGCTTGAGCATCATAGAGTGTCTCTTTTTGCTTAAGTGCAATCACTTGGTGCCTTTCAAATTGCTGATGCAAGTGATGTTGATGAGTGAATGTGTTACACTCCTGGGTTTTAACAGTCTGCTTTGGGGTGATCAGGCAGGAGGAGGAGCGTCGCAGGCGAGAGGAGGAGATGATGATACGTCAGCGGGAGATGGAGGAGCAAATGAGAAGACAGAGAGAAGAGAATTACAGTAGAATGGGTTACATGGATCCAGTAAGTGAAATCATGCTGTTTTTTGGGTACATTATCATGTTCAGGAAATTTTTGGATTTAATTTCGAGATTGATGCCTTTTGCTTCCCTTAGGTTAGATAACGTGTTGCCTTTGTGTAGGTGAAAGGGTAGTAGTTGGCTGTACATGTGCTTTTATCTCCTGAAGAGGTACAGATTTCAGTAGTTGGTTACCTGTGCTCAAAGTTGTTTCTTCCATGCAGAGGGAGAGAGACATGAGGATGGGTGGTGCCACCACAATGAACATGGGAGGTAAAGAATTCTTCAATGATTACTTTTTGTGGCTGACTTAGGAAGTGTCAGAATATGATTATGTATTTCTCTTCCTTAGATCCTTATGCTTCTGCAGCCCAGAAATTCCCACCTCTCGGAGGTGGTGGCGGCATAGGTTATGAAGCTAATCCAGGAGTTGGCCAAGCAGCCATGAGTGGTTCTATGATGGGAAGTGACATGGTAACGTATCTTGTGGTGGCTTTAGCTTAGCACAAGGGAGATGTTGTGGTTGGGAATCGAGTTCTCTACCAGTGTTTGGATGGTTGTGTAATTTCACTGTTAACTGCTGGCTTTCTTGTCAGGTGTTTAACATGGAAGACTAGAGTGGCAGTTTGGTAGATTAGTTCTTAACCATTATGGTAGTTTACACAATCAGAAGTTGTTTGGAAGTGAATTCAAATGTGCTGTTCAGCATATTTGCAATTAACTGTGACTTCATTGGACTTGGGAAATTCTGCGTCACTGTTGGGCTTGGAAGGATTTTTTATAAATTCTAGTGAATGACATATTTCATGATGGAACCACATAATGTAGCTTTTCAGGAATTCCACATTCTGTCTTAATGGGCAAGAGAGATTTTTGTTCTTTCCAATATGTAACACTGCATTTATTTTGGCCCTTCCAAGCCTAGTTAGGATCGATGCATGTTGGTATGGATATGCTGTTATTTCCAAAATCTGCGCTTACATCTATTTAAGCAGCAGATTATCTTAAGTAATCAATGGTAAACAGCATATCACTTACTCTGTATGCTGATGTTTGCTATAGAAGAGCAGAAATGCTGGGGTTTAGCTTTAGGCCTGTTCCAGTGATCCTTGACTGTAGCCATTTTGTGATTCCTGTCTCACTAAGTAATGATAGCCCATTCTTTTCCTGTGTTGGGCATGACTGTGTAGGTAGTTTGATAAAGCTACAGCATATCTCGCCTTCCGAGGTATGTTTCCAAAGTGTACTATTTTTGACACACTATATGTGTGACTGGGCTTTGAGCCTGCTTGGTGTTATCACACTGAAGCAATATGGATGTAGATTAAAGAAATGCTTAATGGGTAGGGTGGAAAACTGTTGGCTTAGGTGGCAATATGACTGTGCTTTCACCCTCCTGAAAGGGTGTACACTCTGTAGCACAAGCTGAACTAAATGATTTTTGGGTGGGTTTAGGCCTCTGGCTTAATGTGGTGAGCTACCATAGTAGCTTGTCAGGAATCTTCTGTTTTTTGGGGGAACCATATCTTTGGAATGGTAACTTTTCAGAGCATCAGTGATTCAGTGCTGTTGGCCTTAATGTATCTGATCTACTGATACTGAAGCAGATCCTAAGTTTCCCGTGAGCAGTTAGGCAGTCTGTGGTGAATGCTGTGTACAATCATGGTACAGGTGCATGCTGAACTTGTGTAACACTTGAAAACGTGCTATGGTCAAAAGCTGTGACAGTAAGATGGTTTAACTGCCTTGAGTTTCTTAGAATGGGGATCTCTGCCACACAGTGCTGTCACAGTTACTGGGCCAATACTTTTTAAACAGAACTGGAGAAAAGCTGAAGCTGCCGTGAATTAGGCAGAAAGAACCTAGATAATCTTTCTGAAGTTCCTTTCTTGGAAGGATTCAGACCGACTTTCAGAAGTCAGGAACTTGAGGTGTGAATTTTCAGTTGCAGATACTTTTTGTAACAACCAACCTACCACTGTTCTATACTCGGTAGTGGGAAAACTTGCCGGAAATGAAAGTTTAAAGCTATCTTTGAGTTTATAATTTGTCAGTTCCATAGGTTGAATGCTGATCACACCTACTCAGACAGTAACTAAATGAAATACATGCAACTAGAGGTACTAGTGAAAAATACCTGAAGTCTCTGCTTTATTGCAGGGCGATGTAGCTTTTACATCTTGGTGTGAAACCTTTCAGTGCTGTGAAGTTGTGAATTTTCCAAGAGCTTGTGGTGAAGGCGGGGTGGGAAGGGGGATACTGACTGGATGCACACAACCCTTTGTGCAGAGTTCTAACTGGAAACACTGGATAAATAGCTCTTTGAACACATTTGTATATTCTCCAGCAGCAGTTCCGAAGTGTCCTTTGCTCAAGCATTGTGGTGGTTAGGTACAGCTAAATCACTGGTCACGAGCTTTTTTCACACTTTTTGTTTTTCTTCTTGCAATCCAGTAGTGCTCACAATCACTTTTGGTTACTGCCTAAGGCCTCTGCAGTTTAGTCAGCAGACCGTAGTCTTAACCCCATCTTGAAAAGCACATGGTCTCTATTGCAGCACATGCCATTAACTGGTGAGTAGGCATTCTGTTTACAATGACATTTTATGAATGTCAGCTCATACATCAGTGAACTGAAGATACGTTCTCTGGCTAGGCTTATTTGGAAATGACAGTGATGGAATCTAAGCTTTTACTGCACGAAAGGTGAGAAGTTTGCAAGCTATTTGCATTAACTTGATTGAAAATTGCTAGAGCTCATTTGGAAAAATTGTTAATTCACATCTGCACTAATGCTTACGTTTCTAGCACTGCAGGGAGGATCTGTTCTTTGTAACAGATGTATGAGAATGCATCAAGTGGGAACATACCTCAAGGCATGTATTACAATAAACTAATTTTTAAATTACCCTTTTTTCCTTTCTATGTTCCCGGTACCTGTGGATCGGCTCAATGGTGATTGTATCGACGAACCTTGACTACGGAACCTTCTAAAAATATATACTTAACACACATGGACATCAACTACATATAATGAACTGTTAATTCTGTTCCAATAGCGTCCTGAGCGCTTTGGGCAGGGAGGTGCGGGGCCTGTGGGTGGCCAGGGTCCTAGAGGAATGGGGCCTGGAACACCAACAGGATATGGTAGAGGGAGAGAAGAATATGAAGGCCCAAACAAAAAGCCCCGATTTTAGATGTGACCTGTAGTTTCATTCCAGTTTGTTTTTTGTCTGTCTTGTTTAGACACCAACTTTTTAATTCTTGCATTTTAGTAAGAAAGCTACGTTTTTATGGATGTTAGAAAACTTACTGACCTAATATTTGTAAGTGGTCTGTTTGGGCGAGTACAATTTAATTATGTAATGCAGTGTTTCAAAACAAACTTAGCTGTTTTTTTTGATGTATAACGTCCCTAACTTGATGGCAGTGTACCTTGTGCCACTGAATTCCCAAAGTGTACCAACTTTTTTTTACTGTGCTTCAAATAAATAGAAAACTAAATGTAGTAGCTCTTCTTGCCATTCGTGGTTAAACATAACGAGGCTAAAAACCACACCTTCCGCAGTAAACTGAGAGTCTTGAGCAGAGGTCAAACTAGACCAGGGTGTGGAACTGCAGGGAAGAGTGAGATCTCTTCCCAAAATGCCTCCTCTCTCTTAAGATTGGGTCAAATAGTAGCCTAACTTTGCAGTAGGTGCAGATCTTTTTTTGAGCATTAATTGTGCTGCAATAAGGAAGCAAATGGAAATCTTGCAAGTGCTGCAAGATGCTTTAAATCAAGCTACACTGCAAGCAGTGCAGTATGTAATGATGTTCCTATTTTAGCTCTGGATAATGGGTGGTGGGATGGTAGCACTTAACCACCTTGGCAGTTACTGCTTGGAATCTTTTAAAGACTTTAAGCAGAAGACTAGCAATGGTTATTTTAAACTAAATTGATAGAATGACTTGTATTGGCTGACTTCCTAACTAAAGGATTGTTAATGTGATATTTATATGCTCTTAAGCTGTTTTGAGATTACAGGATCTGGCCTTGCTTCGTATTGTATACTTAACCTGAAACTGCTTGGCAAAAAGACCAGAAGTGTTACTGTAGTGATGAAGGTTAACTTGCTTATGTCCTCATGGTAACTGAGTATAGACTACTTTGCCTAGTTCAGAATACAATCATTTATTTTATGGGGACTGCAGGAACTATTCTTAAATCGTGTAGCTGGTGGGCAAATCCTTAAAACCTGTATGTAAAATACAGAAATCAGCTTGCTTGCATGATGGTTATTGCTCTTATTATTGATGTTTGGAGATAATGCATCAAAAGTAGTATCTGAATCTGGAGTTTAAGAGTTAATACTTCACAGTACGAATAAACTCCCTCTAAGGTTTTTTTGTAGAAGATCTGATGAATTCATTAGCTTGCTGTTCGTTTTATTAAGCCCCAGAAGAATTTCAGAGCATTCTGGACTCATTGATAAGGTAGTTTTTTTGGTTATTATTACATTGTACCAGCTAAGCTGGGAACCTGACTTCCCAGTGTAAAAGACCTTGGTGTTAAGCAGGTTGACGCATCCTGCATTGGCACAAAGTAGGTAAACTTAGTTTGGCTGTACCTTCACATGATTCCCCAACTACTGAGCATTCTGTGAGTAGCTTTAATTCCTTCCCAAGATCTTTCCCATTCCTTGTGCTGAGCATTGGCTAATTCTAAATTCTATACTAAATTTTCTCTGTGGTTAAAACTTGGTTTCAGATTGCAGTATTTTAGAGTGCAGGTGATCCCTCTTGAAGTACTTGCTGCAAGTGCTATTACTGCTTAACTGAAAAAATAGCCTGTTGGTAAATGTTGATACCAGGTAACACCGACTTGAAATATCAAGTGCATTAAAGAGTGACTCAGCTTGTTTGGTGAATGCTGCTTCTTTTCCCAGAAAAGTTTGGGGGTTGTTAACAACGAATTGCTCTTCAGGAAATTCCCAATTGGCAGTTCCTAAATGGCATAGCAGGTATTTGGGAGTACTTGTACTGGATACTTAGTTTAAAAATCAGCAGTACCGATGCAATTTGCTTTATTGAAGTAGTATTAACCAATGCCTATGTGTTGTGGAGGGTGTTCGTGGGACACCCACAGAAGGTGAAGGTGTCTGAGATGGGGAATTCTGAACATAAACATTAAATTAATTTTTTCAGTTTATTTTTCAGATTACATGTCTTTCTTTATTAAAGAGATGCCGGTGCATATCCTAAAGTATGTTCTTTTGTAGTTCTGTAACTTGGAAGAGTGAAGGATGCTGATGTCCTTGTACCTTACAGAGGTTGTCTTTTGGTACCCCTGTATTATACGTAAGCTCCCGTTGCTAGGTATTAAAATTAGCTGAGTTGCAAAACTCATGATGAGTAACTACTGAAAGATTTGGCAGTTTTCAAAACATCTGAAAGTTGGGTTAAATCTAGCTTTGTTGGAGCTGCAGAAGCAGAACTTCTAAAACAAGTTCTGCTTTGAGTTGCATGTATTAAAAAGGCATACAATTAACTAGCCAACTTCTTTTTCAAGCCTTTTTTTTTAAGGTGGTGTCTTAAAAGCTGGCAAACATGTCAACTTTAAATCTGCTAAATGTGGGAGGTGAGAAAGTTATGTTCCTTTGATCTGTTCCTCTGAGGTTTTGGACTTTTTTCATAAAACCAGATTTATATAATTGAATCTTTAAAACCGTTTAGAAAAGTGCTTTGTTGGCCAGATCTGGTTTTGGACAGTCTGGATCACGTCACACATTTTTGTACTGGACTTGGAGGACATTGGCTGTTGCAATTTAGCTTGCTTAATCAAATTTGTTGAGCCCATTTTGACACTTAGATCTCTAAAAACTGCAGCATGTAGAAAGTGGTATCGTTATACAGAGATCTTCACACTTTGATCAGAAATGAATGCAGAGTAATCTTTTATCTTCTGGTGTAGACACATGACACTAATCATTTATACAGCTGATGAGAAACTGCAACTGCTTTTCAGATTTTGTGGTATTTTTGTGGTAGAGAAATTCTTGGCTTCTCCTTGGCAACCATTTACTGTGGCAGCAAGTTTTTGCTGGAGTTTTGAGACTGCAATTTACACTTATAACTAGTGGCCTGCTACATAACTGCACTTAGCCAGCATTTCTGCAGTTCATAACTGTGAGGAACGTAGTACCACAAATGGCAATGGACATTAGGACCCGGATGTAGTATTCCTGCTTGCTCCAAGATTCTCATTGCCGACTGCGTACAGGTAGGTAACAAGCAATATAATCTAACTTGGTGACTTTCTATGTAATCTTATACTGTGGGTATTCTGACATCACACTTCTGACTGTGGAATTACAGTGCAGCACTCTTCATACCTGTATGTTAAGCTTGCATCAAAGCTCTGCGTGGTTTTCGGTTTTAAGCTTTGTCTTGTTCAGAGTCAATAAGCAACTTACTGTGATTCTTAGATAAGTATTTTCAGACCCGATTCCTTTGTACATATGACTCGGCTTGTGTGGATTTTTCTTAGTTCTGATGTAATGAAGATACTCTTGGATGAGCTCTGTGGGGAAGAGGGGATGTGATCTTAAACTCACTTAACCTAGTCAACAGGATTGACTGCTCTCTGTGCCTAGAAAAGGACTGTTTAAACTTTCTGCAGTGACAACGTGGCCCATCTACAGTGCATCCCTTTGTAGAGTCTTGGCTCATAGGAAATGCTTTAGTAATCACTGCTTTAGCCTTGTGTGCACTATGTGATAGTCACTTTCAACTTGCTAAGAGTCAGCTCTGAGACTGATTTTTGCAACATTTTTGAGGACATACAAATAAGTGCTTGAACGATGATCGCTGTGAGTAGCTTATAGAGCTTGTTGGACATCTCAGTTGTCTTTTTGACAAGCATTCCTCTGCCTTTAACTGACAGTGATGGGATTCTGTATTTCTGCCTTGTAGAGTCATCTTGGTAGTGTAATGCTGAATTTCATCATTCTTGGGGATGTAATTCTAAACTCTTAATTACTAGAAACACCGACTTCAGTGCTCCAGAATTAACATGCTTATGTTTCCAGACATCCAGACATGCTGATCTCCAGCTCTTTTGCATTAGCTCTTCAACCTGAATTTTGAGGTCCCTTGTTTCAGCACATGATCTAGCTCTCTTGTCTGATGTTCAGTTTATTTCAGAGGTGTTGTAACGTGTTTTCCTGCTTGTTCTGCCTTGCATACTTGTTTCTGGTATTATTGTCACATTTGGACCTTTCTGTGTTACCTTCCAGGCAAGACTTGCTGCTTGAAGAGGGAATCTGCTGGCCAGTCTTGCCCTCTGCTGTGGCTATCCTTTCATGTTCCACTGAAAGCTTGAAGTAGCAGCTGCACTTTAAGATAATAACAGCAGGTCTTTGGTTACACCATGGCAAGTGTAGCCCAACTCCAGCTAGTCAAGCAGTGACATCGCTTGTCACAAAGTCAGTTTGGCTTTTTGTGATGGCTTTCTCTTACCTGTGACTAGAACTGAGAAGCGAAACTGATGGCAGTATGTGTACTATCATGTAACAAAAACTGAATTACTGATCCTTAAGCCAGTGCTCAGATCTGCCTAGGGTTTTTTCCAGCGTGCTCTGGATACTTGACTTGACCTGCAGGAATGTCGTGGAGGGGTTATTGGCACATCTGCCCTGTCCTGCGTACTTGAACTGGCAGGTTTTTGACACTCTTGGAGCAAGCAGTCTGGGGCTGAACCATGGGTCTCAAACCAGCTCTGACTGCAGTAATGAAACTTGGTGTGGTAGTTAACTTAAAAGCAATAGTCATGTCTGCTCTAAGTCAGTCTGTAACAAGTGGGTACCAGAAATGACACTGAAGTGCTTGCATTGTGTTTCATCTTGGTTTTATCTGTGTGTGAAATACACTTTTTCTCAAAAGCTTATCTGAAGCTCAGAAGTGTGGTGTCAGAATACATCTGCGTACTGCTAGGCCCTCAGATCCAGATATTGGTGCTGTCAGGAGAGAGCACAGCGTGTATGGGGGCTTCACTGTAACATTAAGCATACAAAGTGTTGATTTGCTTGCAGTTTTCCCCCATAGCTAAACACTGAGGCCTGTGAGTAGTTTTAGGACTCCAGCAGTAATGGGGTTGCATGTCTCTGTTAATCATTGCCAGCTGCAGTGACATGATCAGGAAGGCCAGTGTTTCGTTTCATTATGTTCAATGAGGCTAAGCATGTTGGAAAGGATGCATAAAAAGTATGCTGTTGTGGGTGATTCCTTGGCTTCTTCCACTACTAGCAAGTTTGGAATCAACTAATTAGCTTCAGATTTCTTCTCCTCTCCATACCAGCTAGTGGGGCTGTTAAATAGCTGCTTACTGGAAAAGGAAAAAAAGGGAGGATTGGCCTTCTCCCACCTCTGTCATTGCTGCTAGATAATGATTGACACGTTAGGACTTGGCTGTGCAGTCCCGCAGTGGTCTGTGAATACCCCATCTCTATAAATGTTGCTTCTGAACACCAGTACTGAAGAGCTAACTGGGGAGGGTTGGGAGGAACGTGGCTAGAAGTGAATCTGGAGTGTTAAAAGGATGCACAAAGATATAGTATCCCTTATGCATGGTGTTTGTTGCTATAGCATAGAAAACAAAACGTGCATACTATACCTCTGCTCCTGAGGGCCATGATAAAACCCAGGTGGTGGATTTGAGACTAAACTTCTCCCTGCCTGGTCAGATCACATTGTGACCATGGTGTGACTTGCCTCCTAACTAGAGGTGTGTACTGCATCCCTTGGCTATTCAGCATTGCAGTTTGCCCTCATCTTAGCTACAGTAAAAAGGCTGGGTCTTGAGAAGGGAAGAATTTGTTGCCGAGGACCAAAGTAGTAGACTCAGTGCTAACCTCTAATGTCTTCCTTTAGCTTTTGAAGCACTTCTAGGACTATTGAACCTGAGGGCTGTTAGGAGTCCGGGGACATTGCCCTCCTTCATGAAGGGGAAGAAAGAGGGTGCTACTACAGGAGACAAACTAGGGTAAAAGAGTTGAAGTAGCTTGACAAAATTGTTAATACCTTCACATAAGGGATAGTATACCTCTGGCTGCCATCAAACTTCTTGTACTCAGACTGGTGATTTACGGTTTGTGCTCAGACAAGGTGCAGTTCTTGAGTCAACTACCTGCATATTCCTTCATCTCTTCACAAGTGTTTAGGTTAGCCTATTTCTGCCCCTTATTCTTCCACTCAGTATTTCGGCATAATTTATAAATCCCCCCCTCATAACTAACGAGTCCATATATTTTAAAAACTTACTTTTAAGTTAGTATTGAAATGGTCAGAATTTTCTGTGTGTGACTGTAGTAACTTTGGTTGTTATCCTTTAGGTGAAGATGAAAGCTGAGTGAAACCGGTGTGCTCATCCATGGGAAGTAAGCATAACTTCTGGTCTTGTTCTGAGCGGGTGAAGTAATGAAGGCTTCTGGGCATTGACCTTCACCTTTGAATCGGTGAATATTGAGAAATGGGTATGAGTGAATACTTTAAGCTTGGTACCTGTTGTCAAGCTGTGGGGTCAACCACCCGCACTCTATCTGGGCTTGGTACCTTGGCAGCAGTGGTTAAAATACCTGTCTAGGTGTGGGCTTGTAGAAGAGGTTTCATAAGCACTGTGGGGATAACATGTGAATGTTTTTCCAGTTCAGGAGCCGAGCGTGAGCACATCCAGCATGATGCCCAGTGGTACGTGGAGGGACCAAGAGATCAAGAGAAGTAAGTAGTTAGTGTCTTTCTACTGCTGTGGGAGCTCAGTGGCCCAGCACCCTGGGAGGTATTACATAGTTCCTGCCTGGAATTTGCCCTTGATTAATCTTCATTTTATATAAAACTTCTGAATCTTTCTTTTGTAGACCAAGGATATAACCATTGTTCAGGGCTTTTCAGCCATGCAGCATCAAATAAACTGTCCTGAATGCTGTTGGTGGTCAAACAACTACTTCTGTATTCTGGCTTCAGTGAACTGGGTGGGTGATTGTCAGCAAGGAAAAAGGAGCAATAGAGCAGCTTCCTCGTGTTAATCCAACTAGAAGCTGGTAAAAAGCAACTTTAATATTTCAGTGAACATTGAACTTTCTAAATAACCTGGAATGTAAACTTGGCACTTTCAAGAGCATAGGCAGATGGTGATTTAGGGAAATAAACGAACTTGGAGCTGGAATTAATGACCTTTTCCCTCTGATTTACCACTAAAACTACAAGGGGGAACTTCAGATACTTAAAATCTTGTGTGAGAAGCAACATGCAAGGTACCTTAAGTCACAAGTCACAGGTAAGTAACAGATATGCCGCAGCTGAACCTGTGAGATGCAGAGCCAGTGAGATTGAATCATGTGTGACTGGTCACTGCTCCTCTTGTTCTTAGGGTAGTAAACATAAAGCTCTTTCAGATCTTTGAAGTTTATGAAGCAGATGAAAATGTGAATGCTGTTGTTTAATCTCACATCTTACATGAGCATTTGTGGTCCTTGAACACTTGATGGGTGCACAGCCCGTTGCCATGTGCTGATGCTCTTTCTGTGTCATGATCTCTGCTGGCATTGTTAATGCTCTTGCTGATTGTGTGCTTTGCACTTGCAGATGAAGTCTGAATGCAGGGAAGAGGAGCCAGGAACATGCAACTTCCAACAATAAAATATTTAATATTTTTATAAACAGCTTCTGTTTTATTGCAGAGTGTATTCAGTGAGTGAGCAAATCTGCCCAGTGCACCGTGGGTGAGTGGGGAATGCTGCCACAGACGGGGCTGTGGAAAGGGAGTGCTGCATGGGGAGGGCAGGGGTTGTTGAGTCCTGCAAGAGAAACCACTCATCTCCAGTAAGAACTGACTGATACATAACGCAGTATTTTTTTCCTGCTGGGGTTGTGCCATGGGCTTCTCTTGCAGTTAGAAAGCTCCAATCCCAGGCTGGCTGCATTCCTGGCAACGTGCAGCCGCAGGCGCCTCTGCAGACTGCAGCAGTTCCTGGTTTTTATAAGCCACACTTGCACCTAAGGCACTTGAAGTATTCCTGGAAGTTTCACCCATTCCTTCCCCCATCTCGAGGCCTGTCTATTTAGGTCTTAGAATTCTAAAGGTTTACATGTGCCTGGTTGGGTTTTTAATAGTTTTCTTGGTGAGGACTCTAGTAATTAAACCTGAGATGCCGAAGTTGGAGTGCTTTGGAAGCCGGGGAAGTGCTGAGTTTGGCTCTTGCAGCCCACACTACCGAGCTTCATGTTGCTTCATTTGATTCTTTGGACAGCTGTACTGCACACATACGTAGTCCATGCTGTCACTTGTTAAATATAATCCTTCCCTTAAATCCAAAGTAGTTCAGTGTGTTAAAATACACCAGTGGTAGCTCTGGCCATACAGCTGCCTTGTAACAAGGTTTTGCCCTGCAGTGGCACAAGGAGTCATGAATGTTTGGCTGGGAGCTGCTTTGCCAGCCCAGAAAAGACCAAAATAAATGGGATTTAATCTGGCAAAGTCATAGGAAATCCTTAAGGTGTGTCTGGGTCCAGGTTCTGTGGGGTTAGTGCCCAGCTGGAACACAACTCACTCCTGCTTTAAATCCTTGCCAGGACCTGGTGCAGTAAAAGCTGCTGCCTGCTGCTTTTCACTTCATCCTGCAATCCTGCAGTCAGGTGTGGGATAACTGAGGAATTTCAGTCTTTGATTGAACTCCTTTATGGCATTATCTAGAGTCTGACAAGGCTCCAGCAGAAGCGGTTTTGTGGTTTCTCTATAGCTGCACTGCAAGGGGTTGGTTTTGAGTCTTTGTCTCCACATCCATTGCAGGCTTTACACAGCCTTTTTTCCTCAAGTTCTGTTATTTTCCAGTAACTTGCCCCAGTTTCTTTGCCACTGTTGCAGCCCTGGCTGCTTCCTCTGTGAAACTGCTCCAGCCTGGATGTGTTTCTGGCATTCAGTGTGCTGAACTGCACCTCCTACCACTCCTTCACAGTGTTTTGAAATGGGAGGTGTTCTGGGGAATAGTGTAAAGTCCACCGATGCCTTTCTGTTGCTTGGAGGAGGGGATGGGGTGCAGGTTTTCCATCCACAGCTGGGCACCAGCCCCGGGGTACCATGACCTCAGTAACTAAAAGTCAGGCTGAGAGCAGGTCATAAACATGTGGATGGTGAGGGAGCCCTGTGCCATGAGGGGTTTGGGGGTGATGAACAGAGAGCCGTGCCCCAGCAGCAGAGCTGCAGCCCCTGGGAAATGCAAACAGGCTGAAGTGGTTTTGCAATGCTTACACAAACCCAGCCTCTGCCCCGGCTGGGCTGGGCTGGGCTGGGAGCGCCTTCCCAAGGGAGGGAGAGTTAACAACAAACCTGAACTGCTTCCTGCGGGAACAAAGCAGGACCCCACGCTGCTGGTGTCACCCATTGTTCTGAGCTGGATGTTTTTTCATCTCTTTACGTTGTTTTCTCTTTTCCCCTCAAGGGGTTTTCTGAGGCACCAAGGGCTGGGGCTGACCCTGGCCTGTTGCCCTTTGTTGTTCTGTAGCACACAAGCCAGAGCCGGGAGCAGCTCTCCTAGCAGAGCCCGTGAAGGATGCTCTGCCAGGAGCAAAACCAGCGTCCTCAGCCCTGCAGCCCCTGTGCCAGGGTTGGTGCAGGTGCCACACGGCATTCCCAGTGCCTGGAAAGCGGATCCTGCTCTTTCACGGTTCACTGGCATTACCAGGCTTTGCTCTGGAGCTACAGCGCTGCCCGTGCCCGCACGGCTCCCCTGGGGCTCGGCTTTCCACCCCCGGGATACCGGGATCAGCGCTGGCGCAGGCCTGGCAACGAAGGGAGGGCGGCAGCCGCCTCCTTCACCCCAACCCCGCTGCCTGCCCCGCAGCCCCCCCAGCCAGCGGCGCTGTGCAGGGGCTGGCAGCACCGCACCCCCCCCCCCCCGCCAGGTTTTGGGTCGGTTTCCCGCATTTTCTCACCCTTTCCGCCCCAGCTCAGCTCGGGGGGGGTTGGTGCCGGATGGAGCGGGGGCACCGCAGCCCCGCGGGGTGAAGCTGCGCTGCCCGGGCCGTACCGAGCCGCGCAGCCCCCGCCCCGCCCCGCCCGGCCCCGCAATGGCGGCGGCGTTCACCGCCCTCCGCGTCCTGCTCGGGCTCTTCTTCCTGCTGGCGGGGGCCGCGAAGCTCTCGGAGCTGCTCTCGGCCGAGCTGCACCGGCACATGGTGAGCAGGGGGCCCCGCGGGGAGCGAGCGGGTTGGGTGCTGCGAGCCTTCGGGGCGCCCGGCGACAGCGAGCGGGCTGGGGAGCGGGGCTGCGCGCTTCGGGTGCGGAGCAGAGCTGGGATCGTGCCCCCAACCCCGGCTCGGGGCTGCTCCGCTCCCAGAGCTCCCAGTTCGTGCGGTTCGCAGAGGTGTTCCCGCTGAAGGCGCTGGGGTTCGAGCCGGAGCCGGGCCGGTACCTGCAGGCTGTGGGCTGGGTGGAGGCGGCGGCCGGGCTGCTGCTGGCGTTCGGGCCGCAGCTGCTGCAGGAGATCAGCAACTTCATCCTCAGCGTGCTCATGATCGGTGAGAGCCGGCGGCGAGGGGCCTCGGGGGGGGGGGTCCTCGGGCAGGGACCCCCCCCGTCCCCACGCTCTGCTCCTCGCCCAGGTGCCATCTACACGCTGCTGGTGCTGCGGGAGCCCCTGGCCATGTGCGCCCCGGCCACCGTCTGCCTCGGCCTCCTGCTGCTGCTCAACATCCGCGGGCACGCGGACCCCCCCAAGCCCAAGTTCGAGTGATGGCGGGCGGGAAGCGGTGCCCTGACGGTGTCTTACGGGGGACGGCGTCACATCCTGCGCTGTGACCCGCCGCTGAGGCACCGGGTGCTGCAGGGACCCTGCCTCTGGGTGCCCCACGCTGCAGGGCTGGGGCGATGCTGTCCCAGCAGCTCCGCTGCTATGGCACAAGGTGCGCGGCTCCCCCCGGGGTTTGGCCGCACCGAGCTGGGGCTGGCGCTGCCCTCCGGGGGGGGGGGGGGGGGCTTTCGTATTTCGGAATAAACCCTCTTGTTTTTCAAGTCTTGCCTCCCCCCGTTTGCTTCTGCCTCCCCCCATGGGAGCTCAGTGGGAGCTGAGGGGACATCGTGGTCCCTGGGAGGAGTGCAGGGGGACAGGAGCCCCCCCGGCCACCCAGAGCCACCCAGCGATGTGCCAGGCCCCTTGCTGCTCATCCAAGGGGGTGACAGCAGCAGCGTGACCCCCGCAGACCACGTGCCTTGGGTAGACACGGGATCTTGCTGCAGTGAACTCCACATCAGCAGGGATCCAGATGGACACAGCCAACGCCATCCCTCGGGATGAACCCCAGGGTTGTGTTTGGACCCCCCTGCACCTCCCAGCGGGCAGCTGGGATGGCTGGGAGGGGAGAGTGGCTGTCTGGGATAACCCCCGTGTACCCACAGCGGGACCTGAGCCACCTTGGGTATCCCAAAGGAATATCCACAAATTGCAAGGCCTTGCAAAGCACTGAGCTGGATCCTCACAGAGTCCGGGGGGGTGGCCTGGGGGTGCTGCTCCCCCTCAACCTAGCTTTGAAGCCAACACAAGCACAAAGAGCTGCGAGGAGGCAGATTCCAGCTTTGATCCCTTTCAGGGCATCCCTCTTTTCCCCCAGCTGCCGGGTGTGGAAACTTGACCCTGCGCCGCTTTCATCCCGGCGTGGGTGGGAAAAGGGCCCTGGGAATTGGTCCGAGATGGGTCTGGGGGCCCCCCGTGCCCTGGCCCCAGCAGCCGGCACAGGGGTCTTAGCATGGCTCCAGCAGGGAATCCCCTGTTACAAACACACGCAGGTGCTCTCCCCACCGCTGCTGTCCCGCAGGCACCGACCCCACCGGGGCTTGGGGTGGCAGAGGGGGGATCAGGCAGCCCCTGCCTGCCCCGGCACTTAAAGCCTTCCCCAGCCTGCCCGGATCAGACAGCGCGGAGCAGCCGGAGGGACGCAGCCGCTCCAGCCCAGCGCCGTGGGTAGGTAACCAGCGTGGCGTGGGTGGGATGGAGTATCCCCCGTGCCAACGGGTGGGAGGGGGAAAGGGAAGGGGGACCACTGAGGGTGCTGGGGGGTACTTGGAGGTCTCAGCAGGCTCTGCAAGTCAACTGAAGCCCCCAGGATGGGCCCTGGCTCCCCCCCCCCGTGCTCGGCAGCTTGTGCCCTCCGTGTTTCAACACGGTGCTGGGTGCTGGGTGTGCTGAATCCAGCCCTGCCATGCTGGAAAGCACCCGCTGGGTGACTCAGTGCTGTCGGTGAGGTGTGGGCAGGCAGTGAGGGGAGGTGAAAGCTGCAACCCTGGATACAGCCGTTGCGGCACAGGGTGGTTTTCCGTGGCCAGGACTGCAAAACAGCAGCGGCAAACCTGCCTGGAGCAGGGCTTGGGGTGGAGGGGGCTGCCAGGCCCGTGCTTGTGCCCCCCTATCCATGGGGTCTCCATTCTGGTGCTTGTGGATGGCCTCTGTGGAGGGATTCGGGGTCCTGGGAGGCCTTAAACCGCACAGCTGCCTGCTGGAGCCAGTGCAGCACCTCTGGCTGCTCCCTTTGGCATGGGGAGATGTGGTTGGGTTGAGCTGGGAGAGGATTCCAGACCCTCTCATCTGCGAGGCTGGAGGCTGAGCCCCTCTGGCAGATGACGGCATTCCCGCAGGAGGTTCTGCCTCCAGGCCCCACCACCTCCTGCTGGTGCCATTGTCCTGTGCCATTCACCGCACCCCATCCATCTTCACAGGATCCCGGGATGAACGGCTCGGCGCTGGAGCCGCTGCCAGCAGGGCACCCCGACCACTGCGTGCCCAGGGACCCAGTGCAGTTCGTGCTGGTGCCCGCCGTCTACTGCCTGGTGCTGTGCGTGGGGCTGCCGGGCAACCTGGTGGCTTTGGTGGTGTTCCTGCAGAGCGGCAAGGTGAGGAAGGCCATCCGCATCTACCTCATCAACCTCACGCTGGCCGACATCCTCTTCAACCTCACGCTGCCCCTCTGGATCCCCTATTACCTGGCGGGGGGCAACTGGCTGCTCTCGGAGGCCGCGTGCCGCCTGGCCGGTGCCGCCTATTACCTGGCGACCTACAGCGCCATCACCTTCATGGCGCTCATCAGCTTCAACCGGTACAGCGCGGTGCGGGCGGCGCGGCGCGAGCTGCCGCTGACGGGGCCCCGCGGTGCCGCCGTGGCCTCTGCCTTGGCCTGGCTGCTGGGGCTGGGCTGTGCCGTGCCCACCCTGGCCACGCACCAGACCTTCCGCACCCGCACCGGAGCCACGGCCTGCTTCGAGCAGCACGGCCGGCAGCGGGCGTACGCCTACGCCATGGTGGGCTTCTTCGGCATCGCCTTCCTGGTGCTGCTGGGCACCTACGCCTCCATCGCCCGCGCGCTCTCGGTGCCCGCCGCAGCCTCGCCGGGCTCGCACCGGCAGCAGGCGCGTGCCATGGTGCTGGGGATGCTGCTGGTCTTCGTGGTGTGCGTGGCTCCCTACCACCTCACGCTGGCGCCCTGGGTGGGCACCCGGCCCCCGGTGCCGCTCTGCGGGACCCCCGGCACCCTGGATGTGCTGCACACGCTGAGCGTGGCCCTGCTGAGCCTCAACAGCTGCCTCGACCCCCTCGTCTACTGCTTCTCCATCCGGCACTTCCGCGCCGACCTGGGGCGGACCCTGCGCAAGATGGGACGGTGCCTCCCGCCCCCCCCATCGGCCCCCCCTGTGCCCAGCGCCCGCGCGTCCTCCTTCGCCTCCTCATAGCGGGGTGGGCACCGGGGTCCTGCCCCCCGCCTGCCCCGCTGCCACAGTCCTGTCGGGATGGGGTCCCTGGTGCCAGGGTAAGGATGGGGAGCAGCGTGGGGGGAGCTCTGGCTTTGTGCACCCCTCCTACTCCTCCCACCCCGCTCTGCTCGCTGCGCATCCTGTGCTCACGGGCCCACGGCTTCTGTTCACGTGTGGATCCTGCCCCCGGCATTTCCAGGCACTGGAAGAGCTGCTCAGCCGGTGAGGGGGGCAGAGCCATGGTGGGATGTGGTGAGACAGGATGGGGAAGGATGCCTGGGCTTCCTGTCCCCTCCCAGGGGTCTCCATCCCTCAGGGACATGTGTGATCACAGACAGCCATGGCATGAGCCGGGCTGCCTGGGAAGGGGCTGTTTGGGCTCCTGTGCCTGATCCCGTTCTCCAGCATTCCCGAGCCTGACACCCTCATCCCTCCTGCTCTCAGCTAGGATTAAACACAAATGAGCCAAAGGCTTCCCCGGTCTCTTTGCTGGTGGGTGCACATCCTGCTCCCGGGTACAGCCCCCAGCCCCAGCTCAGTCCCACTCCTGCAGCAGGAGCCTGCCCCGGGGGCTGCTCCCGGTGTCCCTGGCACTGGGATGGGTGGGTGACGCCGTGCTGGTCACTGGTGGGAGAGTAAAGGCTGCTCAACAGCCAGCAGGGAGGCGAAGGTGTAAGAGCAAGGCCCGAATCAGGGAGAGGGGTTCTCCATGTGCCATGGGGATTGTGCACCACGGTGACTCAGGAAGACCATGGCACAGTCAACTTACTGTGGGCTGCAAGAACAACAGGGTGCCCGTGCTGCCCAGGCGCTTTGCTCTGGCTCCATGCAGCCCATGGGATGAGCTGGATGGAGCTGGTCACCGTGTGCCCCAGTGCCGCATCTCAGCAGAGCCAGGACATGGCCAAGGCTGCCCCTGGCCCTGGCACCCCCCATCCTGGACCCTTTTTTCCCCCTTTTGAAGTTCCTATTAAATTTTAATCCCTTTATGTAACTGCGCAGGGGGGTGGGCAGAGCTCTGCTCCCCGCATGCAGCAGGAGCAGCCGTGCAATAGCAATGCAGGGTGCTGCAGGGCCCGGAGGGGGCTGGGGCTGGGGGTCCCCTCCCCGGGGGCAGCAGGACTTGGGGGTGGGGGGGGCTCTCTGCATGCCCCAGCCGCACCTCTGGTGTCCAGGGAAGGGACCGTTCATTGGGAGCGGATGGTGATGGGGGCCGTGGGACTCCTGAGCGGGTGGGGGAGGCTCTGCAGAGCCGCAGCGCTGGGAGCAGGGCCTGGATGTGGCTTTGCTTTGCTGTCCCCATGGCCTGCTGCCCTCCTGCTGCCCCAGGCCACCGCAGGGAGACACTCCAGTCCCGCTGGATGGCTGATGGTGTGATTGCTGTGGCTGCCCCATCCCTGGCAGTGCTCAAGGCCAGGTTGGACACAGGGGCTTGGAGCAAGCTGCTCCAGTGGAAGGGGTCCCTGCCCGTGGCTGGGTTTGGAGCTGGAGGAGCTTTGAGGTCCCTTCCAACCAAACCATTCCATGATTCTAATGTTCTTGGATTCTACGATGAAAATCCCACTCCAGGCACTCGCATGGGCTGTGTCCCACCACGCTTGGGGCAGGGGCTCCCTCACACCACGGCGGCAGCTTCATGCCCAGTGTGACACCAGTGCCAGGCACGTGCCATGGCTCCCACCGCCGCACAGCAACGAATTAGCCAGGTTATTGTGCTGCTGCACTCCTAACCCACGCGTTGCCATTATTATTGGTGCTGTTGCTGTTATTATTGGTATTAGCAAATTGCACAGTGTGGTGCGAGGGGCCCCACGGGTGGGTGGCAGCCACCGGGCCCCCCGTCTGCAGCATCCTTGGGGCTGTCCCGGTTACCAGGGGCTGTCCTGGTACCCCCGCACATCCCGGGCAGGCCGAGTACCCCCAGGCACGGGTGAGTGGCGGGTCCGGGGTGCCCCCGCCGCCCCGGGGGCTGCTCACGGGTGGGTACCACCTCTCCCGGTAGCAGAACCCACGCCCCAAGCCCCGCCACCGGCATCTCCCGGCCTCTCCGCCGCCCCGTCCCGTCTCCCCCCTCCACGCCGCTCATCGGGGCCGGGGGGCCGGGGTACCGGGAGGCGGCGGCAGAGCGGCACCGGAGCCATCTTGAGCCGCCGCCGCCCGCTCTGACTCCCGGTGAAAATCCACCGCCGTGTCTTGGCTGCGCCGCGGCGGCGGCGGCCCCGCTCCGCTCCGCACCGCTCCGCGCCCATCCGCGCTGCACTGCGGGGCCGCCGCCACTCGCATGCTGCCGCCCGCCCCGCTCCCAACCGAGCCCCGCCGGGAGCAGCCGCGCCGGGAGCAGCCGGGCCGGGCCGTCGGGGAGCCGCCCGGCCGCGGACGGAGGATGTAGGCAGCGGGAGCGGGGTAAGAGCTGCGGTGCCCGGTGCGGCACCGACCCCGGGGGTGCCCAGCGCGGGGGGGATGTGGGGGGGTTCGGGTCTCCCCATCGGGGCACCGGGACGGGGACCCATCCATCCCCGCCGTGTGCTGCTGCGGGGGGAGCTGTCAAGATGGCTGGGGGCACCTCACCGGCACCGCGGTGCTCGGCTCAGGATCTGCCGGTGGGTTCGGGAGGAGGAGTGCGGGCATCCCCCGTCTCCTGCTGCGGGGGCCTTTGCGGCGGGGGCTGAAGATCTTGGTCCCTCCAGCTTCTTCCCCAGGAGGCGATGCCCGCCATCCCCAAGCATCCCCAAGCCATACAACAGCCATCTGGGCGCCCTCCCCCTATGGAGGGCTCTGGCCAGGGTTGGGCAGGCCCAGGACCCCTCCCCAGCTCCGTGGTCTCCCCTCTGGCCAGCCTGGGAGGCAGGGGGGGTTGGCACTGGGTGCAGGAGCCTCGTCCCAGCTGGGTCTGGGGCTGCCGGCGGGTGCTGGAGCATGGGCAGAGCTGTGGCTTTCACCGTGCATCCAGGCTCCATGGTAGAGCCCAGCCTGGCAGGCAAGGGTTGCGTTTTGGGGGCCTGGGTGTCTCTCTCTTGTCGCCTCCCTGGACGGCTGGGTTTTGTTGGAGGAGCCGATCTGGTCCCTCCACCCTGTGCCAAACCTGCAGAGCAAGTTGGCTCTGGGACCGCTTCATCTCCCTCCATCCCATGACATCCAGCCCTGCACGTCGCCTCCCTCGTGGGGTGCAGGGAGCCATGGGCACAGGGAGCTGTGGTGCCAGCAGTGGGTCCTTGCCTCGTCCTGGGGGTAGGCATGGAGCCCTGAGGGGGCAGGAGGGGACAGAGCTGGGCTGCTGGGTGCTGGTTACCCCTGTGGGTGTCTGGACTGGGAGCAGGTGGCCTCAGGTGGTGTAAATCAGGGCAGGATCCGGCCAGCAGCGCAGGTTCTCCTTTAGGAAATGGATGTAATTTCCCATCTCCTGGTGCTCCCACTGTCCTCCCGCATGCATCCATGGCTCCCAGCCCTTGGGCACCCTGTCTGCTGCTGGATGGAGTGTGGGGATGGCCACTGGGAGACCACAGGTTGGAAGGAGCACGTCAGCCCTTTCAAAGCATTATTCAAGCGCCAGCAGGGCTGACAGGGAGGAAAATCACCATCAAAGTGACTGTGGAGCATCTGAGCTGGAGGGACCCGCTTGGCTGTGGGGGTGGTGAGTGTATTGGTGCGGGGCTGCGTGGGCATGAGCTGCGTGTGGGGCTGCGCTGGGTGGTGTTACCGCACCGAGCTTGGGCTCCAGGAGCATCCCTGCTGTGGGAATGGTGCCCCATCCAGCCTGGGTGAGTCAGTGCTGAGCCCTCGGTGCCCAAACCTCCCTCCTGAGTGCCAGGGCTTGTGCCATGTGGGCCGGAGGAGCAGCCACCAGCACCCCAGCAGCCTTAGGCAAGGCTGGGGTTTACTGGGGGTCCTTCCTTCAGCCTCTCCATCACCAGCTCCGAGGCAGGGCCGTGCCAGGACCTGCAGGACGCAGAGCCCATGCAGGAGCCCCCAGGCCGGTGCAGTGCTGGTGTGTGGGTCTCCATGGGCCTGCCCACCCACGAAGGCAGGATCAGGCTCCACACTGAGGTCTTGTATCGAGCGGTGCTGCTGCGGCTGGGGCTGGGGCTCCAGATCCAGGTTTTGCAGACATTCCCATCTCCCTGACAAGCTGATCCAAAACCCCGGATCCCACCCAGCCAGAAATTTGGATCTGGAGCCAAAGGTGACTCTTGGCCCTTATTGCTGTCACGGGCGAAGGTAAAATGTGGATCTGAGCAGTGCCACGAGGAGCCTGGGTCCAGCTCAGGAGCTGAACGCGGGGCTTGTGCTCCTTCTGCCCATCACATCGGGTTTCCTGAAATAGCCTGTTGAAGAGCGGAGCCGGCAGGGACCGAATGAGAGGTCGCCAGGGGGGTGGGAGCCCCACCACGATCCTGGCTGCCTGCTTCAAGACGCTGGCAGCCAGCAATAATAGTAATGCACGGTGCCATTGCCGGCAGAGCGCAGCGCTGGAGAGCTAAGAATAGCTGGTGAGCCATGCCAGCAGCCGGGGGATGCGCGGGGAGGGCCGGGGGCCGGACGTGTCCCGGGGACATCCCGGTGATGGGATGGAGGTGGAAGCGCCTCCCTCACGGGGGGGGACATCCCTTTGGTGCAGGTGGCACGGGGCACGGCGGGGGACAGGGGACGGGGACACGTGCAGAGCGGTGCTTGGTGCTGCTGACCCCGCGTAGTGCCCATCAGCGTGGCCTTGGGGCTCTGCCAGCCCCGAGAACTGGGTGTAAAGCCAAAGTGGCTTCAGGGCTGCGGCTCTCTCAATGGCCCTATGATGCGCAGTCCCCCCATGAGCAGCAGCATGGTGGGACCGCCCCAGGGGCAAGGAAGGGGACAGGCTGTGAGCTCAGCACCCCACACTCACCTCCCCCAGGCTGGGCAGGATCGAGCCCCTTCTGCTCCCCCAAGCCAGGCAGGATTGGTCTCCTCCTGCTCCCCATGCCCAGCACCCAGCAGCTCATCCCCAGGGCCATATGGCACCGGCCCGGCCATACCGGGCATGCAGTGAAGCCGCAGGGAGGCTGGGTGCTCCCTGCCTCCATGGCGCTGGCACGTGGCAGCGGAGCAAGTGCCCATGAGATTAAGGAGAATTAATTAGTACTTGTTTCTGTGGGGCCAGGGGTGCTGAGGATGCTCAGTGTCCCCCTCCCTGTGCTCCTGTGTCAGTGCCCCCTGCATCCAGCTCCCTCTTCCCCAAATGCTGGAGCAGGAAGGAGCCACCACATGGGAGAAAGCTCCTCTTGGAGGAGGCTTCTCCTCGTCTTTGTCTGCTGCTGCCGGAGCAGGGAGCTGCTCTGTGGGTCCCTTTGATGCCACCCTGGTATCCCGGGGAGCAAGTGCCTCAGTGCCAGGGGACCCAAGTGGTGTTTGGAGCCTGAAACTTGGAAGAGCATCACCAGCACTCACAGACCATGCAGGGAGGGAGCCAAAAACACAGCCTGGTGCTGGTGGGCA